GTGTGTGTGTGTGTGTGTGTGTGTGTGTGTGTGTTGCAGGTCCGCTGCATGCTGAACATCTGGGGGGTGATGCTCTTCATCAGAATGTCCTGGATTGTCGGTCAAGCTGGAATCGGTGCGTAGATCAAACTGAAGTTCAGGAGGAGAGTTCAGTCTCCATCACCTCTGACCCCAGAGCAGCCAATCACAGCGAAGCTTTCCTCAAGACGCCGTGTTGTTTCCCTGACTGGATGTAGTTCACTACAGACTCACACTCGTGCACAGAGATGCTCATGTGCAGTCACACTTATCTCTTATCTATCAACACTCGTGCACCTTTTTAACGTGCATGGTTTTTATACTTGAGCTGTTTTTAGATTCCAGTGTTTCGATGTCTTCGGAGTTAACTGCGGTGATCTGTCTGATCTGTCTTCAAACTCATTTCTCTCTTCTTCATGTGAACCAGGGCTGACCATTGCGATCATCCTGATGGCCACTGTGGTCACGACCATCACTGGTCTGTCGACCTCTGCCATAGCAACCAACGGCCTCGTACGAGGAGGTGAGATCATGTCCGTGCACAAGCTTTTATTTTGAAAATATGAAGGGATTTAGTTCTCTGGTTGTGACAAAGCACAGAAGGCTCAGGGTCCTTCCTCATCCAACTTTATCAAGCTACATATTAAAGCTCCCCTGTGTCCCTGTTGAACCACTTCCCTTCTCATGATAAACCTGTGAGCGTCCTGTCTGACCAGGGGGGGCGTACTACCTGATCTCCAGGAGTCTCGGGCCAGAGTTTGGAGGGTCCATCGGTCTCATCTTCGCCTTCGCCAACGCCGTGGCTGTGGCCATGTACGTGGTTGGCTTCGCTGAGACAGTTGTCGAGATGCTCAATGTAGGAAATGTTCTCGTTGTCTGTTATTCAAACTGTACATGAAGCAAGAAGTCTGCGTCTGACCTTGTTCCTGCTCTGGTCATCGGTTGCAGGATGTTGATGCTCTGATGACGGATGAACTGAACGATATTCGTATCGTCGGGACTCTGACCGTCATCCTGCTGCTGGGGATCTCTGTGGCTGGGATGGAGTGGGAGGCAAAGGTACAACTGTGGATCCACAACATCAGAGAACGACAAATCAAACTCACAACATCCTCTGCAGCCGACCGACACGACAGATCAGAGTTCAGTCACTGTGTGGAGCAGCCTCCACACCCACAGGCACCAAACACCACAACTAGAAGCAGTGGCTGATGGGAATGGTGATGTAGAAGTTTGAATGCATGTTTTAAATTTGTGTTTAAAAAAAAGTGGAAACACAAAAAATCTCAATAAAATCTTGAAATATTGCAAAAAGGGTTTTGACCAAAGCTTTTGCTCCAGGAGATGAAAAATGGCGGCAAACATGACCTTCGATTGACCCGTTTTAATCAGAACTTCTCTGTCGTCCCTCAGGCTCAGATCCTCCTCCTGGTCATTCTGCTGGGAGCCATCGCCAACTACTTCATAGGAAGCTTCATTCCGATAGAAAACAAGGAGCCTAAAGGATTCTTCGGCTACAATGGTCAGTCTGCGCAGATGAATGAATCTTTTCTGGTTGATATCCTGATCAGCTTCAAGTTCAAATCTTGAATTCAAAGTCCTGGTTTGTCTCTTCACCTTCAGCGGCCATCTTCATCGAGAACCTGGGTCCAGACTTTAGAGATGAGGAGACGTTCTTCTCTGTGTTTGCCATCTTCTTCCCAGCAGCCACTGGGATCCTGGCTGGAGCCAACATCTCTGGAGACCTCACAGTAAGTTTGTCTCACGTCCAGAACCTTTATCCCGAAGAAACTAAGGTCACCAAAGGTTTCTGTGCTGAGAGATAAAAAAATTAAAACAAGTGTCACCGCGACGTCAACCATTGGTTTGTGAGACGATGTTTCGAAGCCTCAGTTTGACATTTTGTCCATCTTCCATTTAATTTAAAATTGACTCTCATTGTGTTCCTGCCTTTAGGACCCTCAGACAGCGATCCCTAAAGGAACCTTGCTCGCCATCCTGGTCACAGGACTCACCTACGTGGCTGTCGCTCTCTCTGCAGGTTAACGTCCAGCACAGTCTCTGCATCTTATCCACACAGATTCATATTCACACGGGTCAACCTGGAGGTAACTCTGCTCATTCATGAGTCGCCTCTGAAGCTCAAACAAGCTTCAAACATGTAAAGTGTGGTTTCGTTTAAACACAGTCAAGATAGAGCAGTTCAAAAATGTCCACGTCTCAGTTATGGTTTAAAATTAAAAGCAGCCTTTAGAGTCTTTAGATGAGTTATACATGTTCCATCAAACTTTTCTAGAAAATGGAATAGGAACAATCTAAAACCCAAGGAAGAGGTCAAAGTCAGAGTTCTCGTCTTCCTGCAGGATCCTGCATCGTGAGAGATGCAACTGGCGACCACAACGACACGGTGAGCGACACGGTGAACTGCACCGACGCCGCCTGCACACTGGGCTACGACTTCTCCATCTGCAAAGAGGGCGGCTGCCAGTACGGCCTGATGAACGACTTCCAGGTAACCGACACACTCGTCCATCACCTGTGGACCGAACAGGTTTACAGCAGAGGAAGGAACCATTTCAGTTATTCTGGTTTTGATGTGAAGACACATTTCACACTAACCTCCCTCAAGTGATGCACATGTTTTGGCGAGGCGTCTGACGTCAGATGGTAGTGTAGAAGCTCCTCTCAGTTGGTCTTCCAGGTTTGGTTGAGTCAGTCTTGAGTGAACTGAACTTCTCACAGTTGCAGATTGTCTCAGACAGAGATTCAAACTTTAGTGCTCGTCTCTTCAGAGAGTGAAAATCCGGCTGGTACAGTTTATAGAACCGGAGCAGAGGATTTGATTGACTCCCGTCGGTCGCTAAAGAAAACAGACTTAATGTTAAGTTACATTACGTGTCAAGTTAAAAACCAGTTCTGGGCCCAGCTGAAGCTATGAGGAGCATTAAGGGCTCAGTCCCAGAACATCTTCATCTTCATCTGAGGCTTTTAACCAGCTGACAAATCAGAGAGTAGAGAAGTCAGAGGAAGTACGACGTCTTTCTCTGCTCATGACGTCGTCACTTCACTGTGTCGTATATTTTCTGTTTCAAACACAAAAAAGACAAATTGGTAAATAAATGTTAACTGATCCCTGATGTCAGGAGACAGGAAATAAAGTACCTGCAGATTCTGCTCTGGTTGTTTAACAAGTTTGAATCGTGACAGACTGTGTGTGTGTGTGTGTGTGTGTGTGTGTGTGTGTGT